GTAAAAAGAGCTTCACATTTCTTTGAAACATTCCATATCCTTGGAACATTTCTTGGAGTTCTTTTGCTTAATTTTACAGCAATATGTCAAAACAAGGAAAAAATGCTGATTAAAGAAGAAATACGAAAGTTTCTACATGAGTTTGTGATATCTTAAATTACATAACATCATAAAATCATAATAGATGTTGAAGATAGCAATTAACTATCTTATAACTTCTTGCCATTCCTTATCTTATAACTCTACACATAGAAAAATTTTCCCCTTCTGATCTGAAATTCTTTTGCTATAAGAAATTTTCAAAATGAAAATGTATGAAAAACTTATAGTACAAGTCACATTTGAACCAAGCATTGCACATTTCAAATTCTTATCAGTTTTTGCTCTTAAGCATTATGCTCTTACGCATTTTGGCAAAGCCTACAGATCACATCTCCCTTTGGCACTTATTATGATATTGCCAAGGGCAAAAGATTAGGTCCCCTCCAACTAAGTGCCATCCAAAAGGGTGATGGCATCCTAACTTCCACCATAGAAGATACATTAAAAGAAATTCTAAGTTTCCACTTTCCCGACGATCCAAGCGTCAATGACACAGATGAGCACAGACTAATAAGACAGAAAGCAACAAGTCCCATAGACACTCCACATTATGTAGACTTTACGAACATAGAGATAAGAAAAGCAATAGAAAGCACAAAGAGAGGCAAAGTGCCAGGGTTGGACAGGCTTAACATAGACTTCGTAGATGAATTGCAACTAGCCAATGAGGATTTCTTAACCCACGTATCCAATGCCTGCCTTCATACAGGATATTTTCCACATGCATGGAAAAATGCAGAGTTAGTTCTCTTCAAAAAGGAAGGAAATAACCTCAAAGACCCCAGCGCCTATAGGCCGATCTGCCTCCTCTCGGCCTGGGGCAAAGTTCTCGATAAGCTTCTGACACAGCGTCAAGTACATCATTTAGACTCAAATAACCTACTGCACAAAGCACAATATGGATTTAGAAAAGGTCAAAACATGATAGATGCCCTTGAGAACCTACAAAGGATCATCAACGAGAACAAAACGAATGGGCTACACACATGCGTTATAGCTCTCGACGTCACCTCGGCCTTTAACAGGCTCTGGTGGCCAGGTCTAAAGGAACAATTAATAAGACTCAGATGCCCCAAGAACATCTACAGGCTAATAAGCAGCTATCTTCACGATAGAGTTATAACTTACCAAAGAGACGGTGTTAACATCACACACACTTACCAAAGAGGAGCGCCAGAGGGGTCTAACATCGGCCCGACCCTGTGGAATATCAGAGCTAATACAGTTTTAGAATTAGATTTGGAAGACACAGCAAGTCTTCAAGCTTATGCTGACGACTTCATCTTAGTAATTAACGGGGGTAACAAACTTATTATATAACGGAAAGCAGAGAAAGCTCTCTCCATCATTTCTGTGTGGAGCTCAAAGTATAAACTAGATTTTAGTATAAATGAACTAAGATGATAATCTTTCCAAAGGGCAACATGATAATTAACAGTTCCCCCAGGATAAAATGGCACGGCCAAACATTAAAGAACCAGGGCACTCTCAGATACCTCGGCTTCCTATTGGGTAGCAAACTAACGTGGGTTCCCCACCTATCAGATATAAGGAACAAGACTTGCAAGATAATAAATACTTTAAACCGAATAATAGAGTCCAAATGGAACTTAAAAGGTAGACTAATGAAAGACCTGTACCTAAGGGGAGTCGAAAGAATGATTCTGTACGGCTGCCCCGTATGGATGCAAGGCACAGAAAGACAAAGACAAAAACTACAACAAATCCAGAGGATCGCCCTGTTAAAGATTACAAAAGCTTTTACTACCACCTCCACTGCCGCCCTCCAGATCCTAGCCGGCACACTCCCATTAGATCTCAAAGCAGAACTCGAGCGAGTCACATACAGACTTCTGCACTTCAAAGAATCAGCGACATTAGAGGGTTCCATTCTCCTCGAAGAAGCACTTTTAGAACCCTGCTTCAGTACAACATCTTTACATCCAGTCTCTCTCAGAGACTTCCGATGGGACAAACATCCCCCATCCGATCAGGGTTTAGAGATCTTTACCGACAGGTCTAAAGACGACACAAGAGTAGGCGCTGCTTTCGCAGTCTTCCACAATAGTCAAGAAATTTTTCAAGATCACTTCAGAGTCAGCAATCATGCCTCAGTTCTTCAAGTGGAATCCCTAGCACTTAGGAAAGCAGCCCTCTGGGCAAGCAGTTCTAGATATCTATCTACACAGACAGTATGAGCATCCTACAGAGTATGAATAAGACAGGAAAGATTCCAGTGCATATTCAATCCCTAAAAGAGCTTGTCTCTACTCTGAGTAATACAAAGCAAGTCACCCTTCACTGGGTAAGAGGTCATCAAGGGACAAGAGGGAACGAACGGGCAGACACTCTCGCAAAGGCAGCCACATCTCGCCAAGACTTAGATATCTCCCTTCCAATCTCCACGAGAGCAGCCAAGCATCACATCCAAGAGGCTTTCATGTCACAATGGCAAGAAAGAGGGGAACAAGGGGACACCGGAAGATACACCTTCACAATCTTCCCGATCGTCAGGCTGTCAAGAGTTTACTCGAACCACTACACGGTTCAGGCCCTTTCCAATCATGGAAGGTTCCCCCAATATTTAGAGAGGTTTCTACATTTATACGTCAAGTGCAGTTGTGGATCACCCGCCAGCACAGCAGATGCCGTCCATTACATCACTTCATGCCCACTCATCAAGTCGCTTAGATCTCCAGCCAACACCGCCCTACTCCATAGTAAAGGTCTCAGAGGTTACCTAATGGATTTCTATGGTCTCCAGGAAGTAAGGCAGATTGTCAGCTTCGTCAATGACAACAAGACCATCATACAAGTCATACCAGGTTAAAACCTGACAATATGTAAAAGGCAGCATGCCTTATATAAATATGTAAATAACTCACTTTTTCATATATATATTCACATTACTATTCAAACTTGTTTTCACTAATATAACTATTCAATATAAGTTGGAAAAACCAACAACAAATTGTATTTATAAATGTAATTTGCTTTGTGATTAATTAATAACGAATGACCTGTAGTGCCCAATGAGAGGCGAGGCAGGCTAAGAATAATAATAATAATAATAATTATTATTATTATTATTAATGCTTAATATAATAATTATTATTATTAAACATTATGTTTTCACACAAATTTTTAACATTTATTTAGATTTAAAATTCTAACTTTTCTGCAATTTAAATTTAACCATTTCCATACAGTTCAAGTTTTTAATCATTTGTGTATTATTCATTTTTTAAAACCATTCCTTCCATGGAAAATAAAGAATCTATAATTTCATCAAGATATATAGCAAAACAAATTAAAAATTACAAGGAAATATGACAGTAAGTAATGTATCTGTTTACTGCAACATTTGATGATGTTTCTTTGTTTAAAAGAAGCCATGAATGTCAGTAAGTTTAAGAAACTATACTAAGTCATGAACGTTAATAAATTTAAGAAACCAAGCTCATGAAATCTCTGAAAAAACTTTCAGATGCATGAAAAGATGGAGACTTGATAAATAAATAAAAAAACCACTAAAAATATCTATAAAATAACAAATATGGAAGAATTTTACGACATAACTTTAAAATACAATAGAATTAATTTTTGTTACCACTTTATGAAGACATTTAATTTGGTAATATAAATTAAAATCATTATTTAAAATCTCAGACATATTTTTAAAGAAAAGTATTGTGCTATAAATATGGAGAAACAGAATATGTGTTCTCCTCTGTATATCACTGTAAGTTGTCTAATTTGGAATCAACTGCACCTTTAAATTTTCCCACCATAAGAAAAAACCATCAGGCAGTTTAGATAATAATCCCTACATTTTCCTTTGTAAAGTAAATGCACCTCTTTAAGGATGAATCAAACTATCTAAAAGAGCATGAGTTGCAAATAGCAAAGGACTTCAAGAAAGAAGGAAAGCATAAGGTATGAAAAACCCTGTCTTTTCAAAGATCTTACAGATGTCAAATCCCCAACCTCAAAAGGATAAATATAACTACATATTGCATAGGGTATACAGCATAAAGCAGAAATAAAAATTCATAAAAAAATTCTCCTGCAGTCAGCTTAATATTTTCATGTAATTTCTGAGATCCTTAGCCTATCAAACTATGAGAGAGTTGTTGCTGCATTAAACTACTCATGTTGCTGCTAGGCCACATATAGGTGTGTTTTTGAGTTGTTGCATAATCTATGAAACAAGTACCACTAAGCTGAGGTATGAAAGGATCAAACAAGTGAAATCACTTGCCGGCCAGAACTGTAGAAAAGCAACTGAAGAAATTTCACAAGACCCTTTAGTTTGCTTCAGCCTTATGAGATTTGGTACTGTTGTGATGTAACTACACATTACAATTCAGTAGGCCTAGAATTCTTGGTACACTGCAACTTGAAGCTGCCATATAACATCTTGGGGTGATGTAGTTAATATGTTTACATCTTGCCAAAAGAAATAGATTAGGAACATATAAAACAAACCACAACCTACTGCTCCTCTGACATACGTTTTTCCTGCATTTTCCCACTGTCTTATAAGCCATCAATGACCAGAAGCATTTTCCACGGACTCATTATAATTTCACAAATTTCTAACAACTCTACTTACTTATAATAATTGTAATGTACTGTTCCATCATGACATTGTTGCAACTTAACGACATCTTTTGAAACTACTCATGATCATTTCTTGTAATCTCGCAGCAATCTATGACTTACTTACTGACTTCTGTTCATATATTTGACTGTCATTCGTTAGTTCCAATATTATTTTATAATAGCAGAAAAAATATTTTACACTTTCATTTTGTTTTTATCATAGTTACTTACATAATCCATAGCATTTACCAATAAAGCTTGCATAAGAAATTGGAATAAAACATTTAACAAACCTTCCTTCTGTGCAAACAATTCTTGTCTTATATAAAGTCATTTTTTTCCGAGGTGTTTTGCAATGTGGGCATTTAGAAATAGACTTCATCATGTAATTTCTTATAAAATCTTTAACAATGTTTCTTCGAAATTCCACCACACTTTTGACATGCTGATTTGTGCTCCCAAGTTTTGCTTCTGAAACAAAGCATAATAAACACATTTCAAGACTAAATAAGAACATGCATTTCAAATTTTAAAATGTACTCCCCAATGGCATTATCATCAATATTAAAGCCAAAATTACATCTACACTGATTTAAAAAATGTAAAGAAAAAACTGTCAAAAATTACAAATACTTCAGGAATTAAGAGCAACAGGAAATTAAAAATAAATAAACCCACAGAATACAGTAATTATATTTATAACAATATAATATGTAACTAACATATCGCTAATTAATAAAATAACATACAAGATGAAATTCAGTGTTTCTTTTGACGACTGTATTTAAAACGTTTATAGTTTTTTGTTGTATCATAAAGCGCAATCAAAGAGATTTAAAGAGATTTTACTCCTAATTATTTTAAGTTTTACACACCCCTTTCTTCCTGTTTGCAGTGAGTGGAGAAAAAGTTGTTTATTAATAATGTCAACATCTTGTCAACGCAAACCCATAGTTTTTTTTTTTTTTTAAGAGACAGATTAATATACTATATGGTCTACTGGCAGGACTCCTATTACTTGAATTTAACTTTAATTAAGTTAGGTTACTTCAATATCGAAAAACTCATCAATCCTACTATGCAACAGCAGCCATGTAAATAGATGTTACACCTACTTCTTCCATCGACCAATTAGCTTCCTTCCTTTTGCTTGTCACTGTCCCACTGCTCATTCCTTCAGAGTACAAATGAAGATATCAAACAATATGCATGCTACCTTTCCTGCCCTGGCTGCTATGGCAAACAGATGAAGATGTGATATAATGAAACGTACTTCGCCTACACCAACTTAACTGCTTTCGATTTAAATTTCCTTTTTCGAAAACAGCTAATGGTTTTTAAGGACATTATTCCTGCTTCCAGCAGTATGGCTTGTAGTTGCCAATTACTTCATGATAGTACTCATCGTACACAACTTCTGAAATTCTTGGATTGTTTCAATGATTATTCTTCACACAGGCTTCAGTATTTCTTCACCTTCATATGATAGTCATAACAGAGCTTTGGTCAATATTTCATGTTGCTACATACAGAACCAGGATTTTGCTCTGGTGCTTGAACTCTGTAATCTGATCACCTAACCCAAGCTCACAACGGCAACTTATAGAGGAGTAAGATTGGCTTCATGAAATATTTCTTAAAGAAAATGGGCTCATTTTTACATTAACCAGAGGGTAAAATTATGAAAAGAACATGTCACAAGCCTGCCAATCTGCCAGGTACCAAAAACTGAGAACCACCACTAGTGATCCTACACCTGCTCAGCTAAAAGTAGATGCATTTTAATTTTAATTTCAGCTGACAACCTTACAGAGAAGTTTTCACGTAATTTTATCTAGAAAGAATGAGTGTCATCCATTAGGTCATGTTTTGCTAATTTATACTTAAGAACTCAAAAACTGTTTAAGTTCTGTCTTCAGTCAAATCCTCTAAACAATTTCTGAAATATACTTGTTATACATAGTGTATATTTAATTTCCTTATTTATAGCTGATTTTTAAATCTATCTGATACTTAAGTAAAATTCAAAGTTTTAGAAGGATTCTAATTTAAGTATTCTAGTAAGAATTTGCAAATTAACATTTATGTGTGCTAGTCTACTTTAGGGCATTCAACAATTACAGAAGCTGCAGACACAGCCAATCTTCTACACAATTAAATTCTTTCCGACTTAAATGTGAGAAAACATATCTACGGACAACATGATCTGATGATTTAAGAATTCAAACAGAAAAATTTTCATAAAGTTGCTGTGTAGCAGATTGTTAATGAGATACTTAAATTTCATACTAAGCCATTTAAATTAAATAAGACAATCTTATATTTTGAAATATACTCAAAATTATGGGAAAATGCCCAAATTTTAAATTAAGAGTTTTGTGTTTTTGTGTGATTTTGCTCAGCAACAGAAACAGCTGTTAAAGATAATCTAATTCTTGTCATACTTGTTCTAACATATCTTGTTGTTATTTTGGCTGTAATACAGGGCAGTTTTTTAAATCATTCAAGTTTATAGGCAAAGATAACACAGAATTTCCTTACACATACAGAGTGTCCTATTCGAAAGCGGCCCCCGGAAAAGTGTGATAAAAATCTTATAGCAGAAGGAAATGAAACCAAATTTTTACATAGCAGGCCTTTACACACAAAGACATGTTATGTAAAAATTACATATCCTGCTCTTCTAAATGAATGTGCATTAGAAGTACATGTTATGTAATACATGTACTTCTAATGCATGCTTGTGTAAATGTAATTTGTTCATGTAAATGAACCTGCATTAAAAGTACATGTTATATAACATACATGTTATGTAATTTATTCTAAATGAATTACATACCATTTACCTCTTCTAAATGAGTGTGCATTAGAAGACCTCCTGTTGGAAGTAACCTCCTCCCACCTGTATACACAGCTAACACGGTGTTGCATTTTTGGGTATGTTCCTCCCTGATTACACATGGTAGAGTGGTGAAGCATGGTTCCAATTGTCAGAATACATGAACTAGCAAATTATATGTTTATGCAGTAGTGACAACAAGTATGTAGCCATCGAGGAACCCTTTCATTCACAGAAGATGGGTGTTTTGTGCATTACCACAGCGGTGCATCATTGGATCAATTGTTTTACATTATTGTAACCAGTGAAGTGTACCAGGCACTTTTTCATGAATTTGTGAACCAGCTGGATGATGGGGAGCTGACACTTGCCTTACCAGCAAGATGGGCAAAATGTCACACATCTGTAGCAAATATGAACATGGTGGAATCACTTTTCCAGACCTGATGTCCACTGAATATTTTCTACAGGGCCGTCTTAAAGGTAATGCAAACAAGCACAAACCACATAAATCAATGATTTGCATTAGAACATCAGTCGTGAAATCCAAGGAGTGACACCCAATACTCTGGCAGCAACATATGCGAACATGCAACGCCATATTTAACTATGTGTACAGGTAGGGGGAGATCACTTCCCCAGGACCTCTTCTAATGCACTTTCATTTTTCAAACATAAAGGTCATGTCATGTAAAAATTTGGTTTTGTTTCCTTTTATTATAAGATTTTTATCACACTTTTCCTGGTGCCTCTTTCGTGTGAGACACAGTGTATTATAAAGAAAAGTTAAATTATATGCAACACAAAATCACAGCAAGCCATTTTTGGAATATTAAGTCATATAAGTCTACGACTGAGTGTTGAATCAATATATTGAAGGATATTTATTTTAAAGAAATGGGTATTCTTCTGGACCGGATTCAGAAATGTATGAATGTATGTATGGATAGATGGATGTGTTCATGTATTTGAGTATATATGTGATACACACATACACATGTACATACATACAAAAATACATTTTTGAACAGAATACCAAGAAATGATAAATTCTCTGGAATTGCCAGTATCACATATGACTTCTTTAAGCAATGTAAATGAAATTAATTATAATACTTCTAGCAATAAACACCATTATGTAAATGAACTGATGGTGAACTGCAATAAATAAGTGAAATTTTAAAAAACTGCAACAGATAAAATAGTCTTGATTTCATGATTTTTAGAATCCAAAGATCTTTCTCATTTGATTTATATAACAAATATATGCAGAATCATGCTAATCTAAAATATGATATGTTTTTCCGAACAACCTAGTCTATATAGAATTTGCTTTAGATGAAATATCTCTGTAAATCAAATTGAAATAACTTGCTTATCATTTTTAATTTAATTATTAGTGACAGACTTACCACTGATATAATGCATAATATTGTTTCATTAATCATAGCAATTAGTACATTTTTCAAGCATGTGCATAATTTACTTTGATTTGACTTGCAGTCAAAGAGTTATAATGCATACATGTTAGCTTGATTATAATATGCCACCACTGTATAATGTTTTTCCCGTATAATTTGATAACATATGTTATTATGTTCATGATTTCAGATAATTTATAAAATAATACAAACATACTCTTAAGTTTTACATATCATGAAACAATCTTACCAAATACTGCAATAGATTAAATACTAAATTTATAAAGCTTTCCAGTTACACATACCACATAATTTCTGCACTATAAAAAGGTCAAATTTTTGCATTTTTTATATATATAAACTATATGCATTTTATATATATATATAAACTGTAATATACAGAAAAAATTATGTAAAAGGAAGTAAATATATTAGTCCATACTACAGGAGAATTTTGTATTGCTCGAAACATATAAATGAAAGTCAACAGTAAAATAACCACCATATATATAACAAATGAGGAAATATGGTGAAGTGGGGGGGAAAGGGAAACGGCAGTATAAAACAGATGAAAATATCTACTGATGATACAAATTACTTATCATTAATTTTCCTTAAATACTAAATGTTTTCTCTTAAGAATAAACCTTTAAATGCATTAAAATACTTCTATTAAAAAACTTTCCAAGATATTATTAGGAATTTAATCGTCTAAAATCTTACACAAATCGAAGTTCAACAAAATTACACATATATTCTCATCAAAGAATTATTTATTACATAAATTAAAATGTACCTTTGAGAGCCCTTTCAAACATTTCCTTTAACTTTTTAAAAACAATAGTTGCATCTATAACTTCACTTCCACCAGATGCCACTTCAGCCAGATCTTGCACAAGACTAAGTAAACCATGATCCAATGCCCTTAACTGATACAGAGTTAACTGAACGGCAAGAGGTGGCGCAAAAAGCTTGTGACAGTGATAACATGAACCTTTCAAAATCTATTCAAGAAGAGGAGAAAGAAAGGTCATTGTTAAATTAAAAATGAAGCACTTTAAAAAACTGTCATACTATGCAATAAAAGAAAGTATTAAAATACAATTATCTGCAGCTTACCTTTATAAATAACAACCATTTTTCTTTTAAGAAAGCTTAAAATCTTTATAATTTATTATATATGGCAATAACAGAAATAGTAATTTGAAATGTTTCCTTAAAGTGATTTTAAATCCTTTTTACACTAAAATTGCTGTTTAAGACATCTCATTAACCAGATATTCAAGAAATTTAATCATATTTCATCATATCACAAAATCCATGAATATGATCTATGAATATTTTATTCTAGATGCCATCACAGTTATAGTTTAGAAATATGAGGCTAAGAAATGTTCCATTCAAACAATGTATATTATGATTCAGTTTTATTATAAAAAGCAAGCAAGCACTATCATGCCTAAAAGGAGAAATGCATTCATAGAGGACTTCTAAAAGAAATTAATTCTTACTCACATTATACACAGGGAAATCATGAAAATTCCAATGAAGCAGACTGTGTGCGAGGATGTGAGCACAGATCGTACTACCAGTATTTATCAGCTGCTTAGCCACACATAATGGATGCAATGCATACAGTTTATTTTATTATATCTTTCTTATTCAATGCATGAGGATGGCTGCAATCAATATAGTATTTTGTGGAGTTTCACTTAAATTTTTTATTTTTATTTAAAATACATATAATTTCTCATTCACCCTTAAAGCAACCGAACTGTATTATATCGAAAAAAAAATTAATCATATCTTTAAGTATCTACATTTACATCTTGAAATTTGTCCAGACAATTCAGATAGCACACATACTAAAACAAAAGGAGTCACGGTACAAAATGGAAGGGCTGTTTGGGAATTATAAAAGAAAATAACATTTACTCACAACCTTTTTGGGAACTTGTGGGTTTCAGGGCCAAAATCTAGACCCCTTGCAAGGTTAAATCATTTTCAAGTAATTCCCTGATATAGCTGTCTCAAAAAAAAAAAAAAAAAAAAAAAAAAAAAAGGGGGGGGGGGGGGGGGGATTTCTGCATTTTAGCCTTGGTGTGAAATACACATATTGATACACACAAGCAATTTATTCAACACCTATCAGTTCCTAAGGCAAGCTAATAAAATAAGAAGACCTGATAGAAATCACAAAGACAAATGAGTTCTACCTCATACAGAATAAAACAAAAATAGAAGAATTATGCAGAGGGAGCTCCCGATTATCCGTGGACGGGTTATCCGTGCCTGCTGCACAAAGTGGTTTTTTTTTTTTTTTTTTTTCCCCTGAGCAAAACGTTAAATTTGCTAACATCATGCTTATTCATAGCAAAAATATCCCAGGCCTTCTCGGAACCTTCCCCTCTGATGAGTAAGTGATTTCTTACTCACCCTTGCAGTGACCGCTCCACCCCCTCTCTCGTCTTAATCTTACTCACACGTCCACTTCCTCCCACTCGCCATTGTTCGTTTAAGCCTGAGAGTGTTTGTCAACCGGTCGGAGTTAATTATTGTGTTTAGTGCTTGTGCTTTTAGGTTTTGTTTTTTCGTTACCGATTTAAAATGTCAGGAAAATGAAAGAAGGTTGTGTTGACGATTGCGCAAAAACTAGAATTAATTTCCAAAGTAGAAAATGGCGCTACGAGGCAGCAGATGGAATCGGATTACGGAATCATGGAAACAAGAATGTGCAAGATTCTAAAGCAAAAAGACAAACTGGTGAACTCTGCTTCAATGTCGGACAGTGCTTCCGCAATGAAAACGCGAAAAACTATGAAGGGACCTTTGACGAGTTAGACACGGCATTGACAAAGTGGTTAACTTAAGTTCGAAAAGAATGTACTACTGTAAATGGTCCTATCACATTGCGGCGAAGGCAAAAACCTTTTTTGAGTTGTTAGGCCTGAAAGGAAATTTTGATGCATCTTCTGGCTGGTTGACTCATTTTAAGCAGCGACATGGAATTCGAGAAATGGGACTTCATGGGGAGAAACTTAGTGGTGACCAACAAGCAGCCGACGATTTCCACCATTGATTTGAAGAATTTGTTTTAAAAGAAGAGCTATCTTTTGAACAAATTTACAATGCCGACAAATTGGGACTTTTGTGGAAATGTCTTCCCACTCGCATTTTAGCATCTGAAAATGAAAGTAAAGCGGCGGGTCATAAAAGCAGCAAGGAAAGGGTAACTATCATGCCTTGCAGTAACGCTACCAGTGGACATAAACTTAGACTTGTTGTCATTGGAAAGTAAAAAAAACCGAGATCTTTCAAAGGCACAAGGATAGAAAATTTGCCCGTTGATTACTTTAACCAAAAAAAAAAAAAAAAAAAGGATGGATGAACCGAAACATTTTTCAAGAATGGTTCGAAAAAATCTTTGTTCTTCAAGTGCGTAAACATCTTAAATCGAAAAACCTGCCTGAAAAAGCTATGCTATTGATCGACAATGCTCCTTCTCACCCAGCAACAAGCGTGCTTAATTCTTCTGATGGACAAATTTTTGCAAAGTTTCTCCCCCCAAACGTTACTGTACTAATCCAACCCATGGACCAAGGAGTCATTGCAACAATGAAGAGAACATACCGAACCAAGCTGTTAATGACCAAAATTGAAGAATGTTATGATCTGAAAGATTTTTGGAAACACTACATAATCTTGGACAGCATCTATGATATTGCATCTGCATGGGACTCAGTGAAAGCATCAACCCTCAGAAAATCATGGAGAAAACTCAGGCCTAATGTTGAAGCCAGCAACAACCTAACCCCTTTGTGTTGTGAGGAAGACAATGAAGACGTAGACACGCCTACGCCAACGCTTGCTGATATGGTGAAAACAGTTCCGGGTGGTGAGAACATCGATGCTGAAAACATTAACGAGTGGTTGGAGTGTGACGTCAACGAACCTGGCTTCGAACAATTGACAGATGACGAAATTGTGAAGAAAGCAAGGGGAGAGACCGAGAATGAAGGGGAGCAAAGTGAAGGTGAAGAAAAGCCCACTGTGCAGATGCGGAAGACTCACGAAGCGGCTTTGCAACAAGTCGGCGGACTGCTGAGCTATTTGGGAGAACAAGACGACGAGGAGTTGGCTGAGAAACTTATGTTACGAAAAATGCAATCTCGGATCAAGAGAAAATGCTTCCAAAACAAGAAGCAAACACAAATGACTGATTTCTTCAAAAAGGCGTAGTTATGCTTTTGTAATTACAGAATACATTACAGTATTAAAACAGTACATATGTATTAATTTTTCTGTGTATCCTTGACACCTCTAAGTACAAAGCACTTTTCTGTTTTCATTAACAAAATGCATTTTAGGTTAGTTTTAAATGATATACTAAAATATTAAGCATTAGTTAAACACTTCCTGCTGTTTATTTCCCGTTTTATTGTACATAAAACAATTTTTCAAAGTTGGAATGACTGTTTTCTCTTTTGCTATACCCATTTTTAGCTTTTTTTGGATTATCCGCATTTTTTGTTATCTGCGGCGGCCGCACCACCCAATTCTGTGGATAATCAGGAGTGTACTGTATTATTACAAAAGTGGATTGAGATAGCCCTTACAAAAACCTTTTTGTAGAGGCTGACAAAGCTCAACAGAAACTTCTATAGAACTTCATAGATAATCCTAAATAGAAATGCTTCTCTATAAAATTCTATACAAATAATAAAATCATAAAGCTTTCACAAAACAATTTGCAAAATCATGTAGAAATTTTGTAAAATAGCATTCTATAGAAATCTTGGATTAATGTCATGAACCTAGTCAAATGCAGATGAGCTCTGAGTTCGAACTAAGAACCTCAATAACAATCTAGTAAATTCAATTTTGATAAAAGAAAGTTTTCTGGTCATCATGACCATTTCTACCAGCATTGATATCCAGCCACTAATCCCATTACTGATTTTCCTAAAAGAAGCATGAAAATTTATCGACTCAAAAAGCAGCATAAAGCCTGCAATTTAAAATCATGAGGAAAAAATGACTTGAACCTCAGAATGATGGCAAGATATCTCTGCATTAGAAGAGTATATATATTTTCTGCTCCCTTACTCAACTTTATAAGTGCCTAGGTACATCATTATTCTCCATCCCTGTAACTAAAGCTGAATACTATGCTTGACTTAAACAACTCAATGCTAATTCCATGATCACCATACCAACAGAAACTAACAACAAATCAAAATACTTCCTAAATCAATTAATTCCCCCAAATTTAACCCCATTTCAACTCAGAAATTTGTGACTGCAACCACAACTTAAGTATTATCAAGCCCCACAGGTGCTTAATTAAAAATAAACCTTTAAAATAAAAAAACATTTTCAAGAATGAATCTAGCAATAATATGACTCCCACAGCAAATTCTTGCCAACCATTAAACGCACACAAGATTTAGATATGAATACTCTCCACAGTAGCCAGCTGAAAATTCTACTCTTAAATTGCCCCAGCTCCCTTCTTCCATTCATATCAAACTAAAAATAGAATGGTATTTCTTGTTACCTCAACTTAAAAGATTAGCCTCTACAATCCGTTTGCTCCAAGAACACGATTTTCTGAAATTAACTACTGCCAATATGTCTTATTATTGTGCTCTTGCACACTTTCTTATAAAACACAAAAATAAATATAAATCCTTCACCTTGAAAAGTGACAGACCTGTGAAACTGATCGTTAGAAGGCTTCTGTCAAAAACCTCCATCAGTTTCACTTTTCAATCCATAAAATTACACAGTTGAAAACAAACAAAAATAATATGTCAATGCTTCTATTTTATGATTTAATTCACAGGTGGTATAAGCAGAAGTGGGTGGAATACCAGAATTTCACCATTCACTGAACAGGTACAATCCCATCGCACTAAGTCTGCAGCTCCACCCTAATTCTGAGAGAGAACATACTGATTGGAAAGTCCAAAGTTCTTCCACCTTCTATTCCCTAACACAAATA